GCAGATTCAACCAACTGTGAATTGTGTAGTACAGTAGTATACATTTATTGAAAAAAATCCACATATAAGTAGTCCCATGCAGTTCAAACCCCTGTTGCTCAAGGATCAACTGTACATTCCAGAGGAAGGCCTATCTTCAGAAGCACTGGCCCTTGACTAGCCCCTGAGAGAGAATCTCTGAGCCTTTGGAGTACCCTGCCTGATAAGAATGTTTTATATGTCTGAGGCTCTGGGCCATGCTGTATCAGTTTGACTTCTTGGGGGACTGGAGACTGAGTAACATAGATCAGTCCAGAGTCCTACATGACTGATCCCCAGTGAAAACCCTGGACACTGTGGCTCAGGTAAGACTCCCTGGTTGATGATACGTCACGTGTGTTGTCACACATTGCTGCTGGGAGAATGAAGCATGTCCCCATGCAACTCCACTGGGAGGGAAAACCTGGAATCTTGTACCTGGCTTCTCCTGGATTTAGCTCATGCACATTTTCCCTGTGCTGATCTGTATCCTTTCCTGTAATAAACCATAACCATGAGTATAACAGCTTCTCTGAATCCTGTGAGTCCTTCTTGCTGTGAATTATCAAGCCTGAGGGTGGTCTTGGGGACCCCCAACACAGTCACTTGGCTGAGAGTTCCATGGTAGGGGGAAGTGGTGGAGAGGTTGCTTTTGGGAAAGTTAACAGCGGGAAATTTATAATGAAAGGGCTGGAACTGGGCCTTGGAGTGCTCACCAGGTGGGGGACTTTGAAGGTCTCTTATCTGCACCTCAGAGGTTTTATATAGTTGCCCCATTTATCCACTCAAACCATAAAAGTCTGCTGGGCAGTCCCCTTTTCTCCCTCTTTATCCCCCACGGTGCCTAGTGCAGTGCTCTGTGATGTGGGTGGTACCCTACCCAGATAGGTCCCCTTCAGCAGTGAGTCTGCCAATTGCCCAGTGGCTGTGGGTTTGGCTGCTGAATGGCTCACGGCTGCTCCTAGGAGAGCTGCTTTTGGTGAATAGGTTCTACTCCTCCACCTTACCCTCACAGCCTGCAACCAGGGACTGGCTGACATGGAGGCACAAAAGGCTGTCCTCTTTTCCTCAAGGTGGGGTCAATTCCATGGTGCAATTTGTGCTCCAGAGCTCTCTGTGGGGTGGAGCTGAAGCTGGTTTTTAGCCTGGACCATGTTCGTGCTGAGTGTTCTTCCCCAGCCCTAATCTGCATCCCATACTCCCCCTTGTCTTCAGGCATCTCCTCCATCAATCATTTACTCAGGAATCCCCATCCCAGGATTCCTGAGAACCAAGCCAAGACAGTAGTGACTAAGCTCTGATGGCCATTGAGACCCCTACAACCATATTTTGATGCATCTCAGCATGGCTCACAGTGTCCTTGTTTCTGCAAAGGAATTTCTCAGTCATTTAAAGCTCTATCTTAGTTTTGAGCCCATGAATTAAAGTGGAGATGTAAGCCTTGTTTTGGCCCAGACAGAGGGTGGAACAATTGTTGGATGGGAGGTTTTGCTCTTAGACACAAACTTGTCATTCATATGCTTGTTCTTTCCCATAACAGAGCCTGTTTGCAACAAGCCTGTCAACTAAGATTCACCAGAGGGACTGGGTGAAGTAGGTGCTCCGAGGGCCGATCTGATCCCACATTGTCATTCCCATGGGAATTAGCCACTGGGCGCTCAAGTAACAAGGCCTATGAGTGTTAACGTTCCTGTTAGTCAAGAACGTGCAGAGCAAGAAAGAGACATCAGTGGAGACTACGTAACTTGAACTCTGAATGTCCAAGTCTGGAAGGGTTTTTTATGGTCTTCGTGAAGTTCTTAGTGTAAAAAGCAAAATTCAAGCCTCAAGGATCAAAGGTGGCCCTATGCACAGGCAAGAACCTGCGCTCACACCACAGACCTGCCAGCAGGTTCTGACACAAAGACCCCCATTGGTTTGACACCAGATCTTCTCAACAGTGACAGGGATTGCTGATCCCAGAGTCTGATGAGTGGGACTAATGGCTGGGACACTGATGCTGGGCATGGGATGTTTAGGAGGTTGAAAGGAAAAGCCACGGGTAGCTTAGGTAGCAACCCAGCTTAGGTAGTACCTCCAGCTTCTTTCACCTCTACTTGCTGAAGCTTTATGAAAGTGCAGCTTCCTGCCCTGTGACCAGTGTTAATTGTTATAGGCCGGGAGGAGGGGATAGGAAGGGTTGAGAAAACCTGAGTGTATTGCCAACACTAGGAGGTGTTCTCTGTCTGGGTCCTGAACGCTCTCCAACATTAAATCCCATTGTTGACACCTGTGGGTGTAGTTGGTGCTCTACCGAGATCCCCTTTGTCCTCATCTTTCCGTGCGTGCCACTCCAACTTCCACTTGCCAGCACCTGTGTCCTTTTGCCTGTGGCCTTTCTCTGTCCACTGGAGCCTGTGCTGCAGTGCAGAACAGGCCAGAAGTGCTAGGGAAGTAACAGCCAGGAGTGTGTTCATCAGCCAAGGATGGGCAGGCTGGGAAGGCCCTGAGGTGGATGTTCCTTCCACTCTGCCTAATGGAGCTTCACACCTGAATGAAGCTGCTTTGCCCACACTGGTGACACGCACCCTTTGTTGGCTTCTTTCCCCTCCCCATCACTTCCGCATCACCTCTCAGTGTCTCCTGAGGTCATTCCTCCCACCTCCAAATTATTTGCACTTGATTCTTAGTCTCAGAGTTTGCTTCTGAAGGAAACTAAACCAGTGCCCCGTTTGACTTTCCTTTACTGATAGAGCCCCAAGCTAGGAAGAAACCATCCGGCCAAGGACCGGCCCTGGTCAGAAGGTTTGGAATTGGCTCCAAAAGTTGGTTTGAAATCTACTATATGGACACTGGGCCTGACCCAGGTGATTCTGGAATGTCTTCCCTTTCTACCAATCTGTGTAGATTCTCCCCTCGCCTCCCCTGCAACTGCAAACCCTCGAAACGCTGGCCTTCATGGGTGCAGGGAGAAGCCAGCCGGGCTCCAATGGCTCATCTGCTGTTAAAGATGCGATCAGATAACGTGTAAATGAATGAGAGAGTAAGTAAATGAACAAACGAATCTATGTTCCAATAGAGCTTTATTTGGCCCATTCTGATCAAGTTTAATAATGTTTAATAGATTTTTTTAAAACATGAGTAAGTAATAGCAATTCCTCTGTAATAACAATTATATATGAATCCCTGGTCAAGACCAGCAGCTTGTCCCTTTACCAGAAAAGTAAAGCCGCCCTTTGGGGACAAATGGCACATGAGGAGTGGTGTACGTTTCCTTTTCTTTAAAACAAAAAAGAAAGAAAAGAAACCCAGACACTTCATATTTACATATTTTCCATTTAAAAATTGGTCAGTATGGTTATTTTTAAATATAAGTTTCTAACGTGTTGCAGGTTTCAATGCACAGATCCTAGTTAGCTGATTAGATTTAAGGTGCTGTTGAGGTGAGGGTGAACCCAGCCTAAGCTCAACACTGAGGAATCCTCTGTTTACAGACTGGCTCCTGTGGGCATCTTTGGGGGAAGCTGAACGCCAGTGGTGGAAATGGCAGAGCATTTCCAGGGGACTGGGCTCCATGCTTCTGCAGAGGGCCTGCTGTGCCCACACACCATCTCCCCGCAGGCTCTGTGTACAAGTGCACCTTTGGTTTGGCATGCTCCGAACTCATCCTGGCCTAAGCTAGGAGGGACATGGTGGCCTCAAGTCCTTTCTTTAGTCATGGGGTCCCCATGCTGGTGCCTGACCCCTGAAGACCCTCGATGTTGGCACCCCACCTTTCATACCTTCCTACCCTTCTGGATTCCCTGTCCCCAAGGCCTCTTGCTCTCCAATGCATTTCTTCAGGGCCTGCTCTTTGCCGGGGCTAAATGGATGATCAAAATCGAGGGCAGTATTTATGAAGTCGGATGGGCCCTGTGTGAAATCTTCTCTCCTAACACATTTGCTCTAGGCAGGCACCTTGCTGCTTTCCACCAAATGAGCAATTCATGCCGAGGACATGAGTTCCCAAGGTAGGCTTGGAGCGGGGCTATGAGTATGGGGGTTGGGGTGTGGGGCAGGCTGGAGGGATTCTTGGAATTGCTGTCTTCAAACTCACCCGTGTATGACATTCCCTCTGGAGTAAGAGCTGTGTCATTGTGTCTGTGCATGTGTCAGGAAAGTGCATAGGAAGTTCTGCAAAAGGTGTGTGCACAGGCCTGGGAGAATGGGTTATTTTACCCACAGAGCCCGAACTGGTCTGGTCTGCAACCAAGATTTCAGACCACACAGGGGTGAGGCAAATACTACAGGGGTGAGGCAGATGGGAATATTTACGTACTTGAGGAGCCAGAAAAAAATATGCTTGGTGACTAGGGGAAAGAAGCTGGCTCAGTTTCCAGTTTCAGAGTTCAAGGGGCATTGCTCTGAGTAAAAGCACATAGAATGGGTCAGATGGTAATGGACAGGGAAGAAACATCTTGAACCAAGTTTTCTGAGTGAAAAGCCAGAGTGATGCCAGTAGAGGAAGACACTGTTTAGTGGACAGACACTGGCCTGGGGGCCAGGGGCCTGGGATTCAAGGCTTTCCCTGACACTGACTAGGCCCTGAACTTATAGTCACTTGCTTCTCTGGGCCTCACTGTCCTTCCACATCTGTCAGCTGAGGCTAGTTGGGCCAGGTGGTTCCAACACTCTGCCTGCAAGGTTCCACTGCACACAGCCACCCAGGTGGGGCCTGCAGACTGCTAAGACATACTTCTGCCCTGTACACCGCCACTTATAAAAACACAGGGGTCTCTTCCTCACTGGGAAAGTGATCAACCCCCAATCTCGGCTCCTGTTCAAACCCACTCCCAGAGGTTAAAGGCTAGTTATTAAGGCAGTTTAAGAAATGGACATTCCTCTCGCTCCTCGGATCCTTCCTGTGTTCTGCTAACCCCAAGGCAGCAGAGAGGGGCGGCAGGGGTGGTGGAGATGCCAGGGAGGCGGCCTTCGGGATGGCCTGGAGCGCCTCTCCGCCGCCCTCACCACCTTTCTTTGGAGAAGGCCTCAGTCTGCACGAGATCGCCAGGGTGCTCGGAGATGCACGCGCCGTTGAGGTCGCCCAGTTTACTGTCCGGCAGGTCCTCGGGCTTGGTGCAGAGCTTCAGGGCACGGGAGATGAACACGTCCAGGTCGAACTGGGGGCTGGCGCCCCCGTCGATGGGGGCTGGACGGCCGGGTGGGGAGGCCGACAGGCGGCGCTCGGGGCCGTCGTGGGGCGGGCTGGCGCGCTCGGGGACGCCCTGCGTGCTCTGGACCCACTGCGCGATCTCCAGGAAGAGGCTGGCCGGCTCCTCGTCGCGCGGCCCCGCATCCGCCGCCACCGCCGCCACCGCGGCGGTGGGGGGCGCCCCGGCCGCCTGCTTCCAGTGCGACAGGTCCAGGATGAGCTTGGGCTCCGAGTAGTGGTGCGGCTTGTTGTCGCGCCACAGCAGCTTGTCCAGGTAGGACGGCGACCCCACCTTGTAGTCGCAGGAGCGCCCGTAGTCGGCCTCGAAGGCGCGCTCCATGGACGAGTGCGACTGCTCCAGGAAGCGCTCCGAGCTGCTCTGCGAGTCCTTGCGCGGGTCCACCTGCACGTCCTCCGCCAGCGGCGCCGAGCCCGCGCGCGGGTCGAGCTGCACCTCGCTCGCGTCCTGGTACCTGTCGGGCCGCCACTCCAGGTCCGACGACAGGCTCACAGGGTACCTGCAAAGGTAAGACAGGATGGCGATTGGACCCTTCCAACCGGGTTGGCTTTGTGGAGGGAGCCAACCCCCCTGATCCCTGTCTGCCACCCACAGGCCGGCTTTCCATTCCTTCCCAGTCCCTCCAGCTCCTTCCCTCACCTCCCAAGGTGGGAGGGTGATGGGACAAAGTAACGGTGAACCTCCAGGGCTCAGGCAGAAGGACTGATTTGCCCGGCTTAACTCTTGTATCCTTTTGTATTCATTGAATATCCTACAAATATTTCTTGAGCACCTCCCATGTGCCAGGCGCTGTTCTGGGCATTACCAGACACAGCAGGGAACAAAACAAAATCCCTTTCCTCATGTAATGGTACTTTCTAGTGGATGCACCTGTGCAATACTCCTCAAATTTTGATGTGCACACAAATCACCTGGGAACCTTGTTGAAATGCAAATGCTGATCCAGTAGATGAGGCAGGGCCTGAGAGTCTGCATTTCTAACAGGCTGCCAGTGATGCTGATTCTGCTGGTCCCTGGCCCACACTTTGAGTAGCAGGGCCCTAATGAGGGCTTCACAGGCTTGGCTCAGATTAGAATCACTTGTCGGGGGGGATTAAAAATAAAGTTCCATGCCTGCCCCACATCTCCAATGCTGATTCAGGAGGTCCAGGGAGGGGCCCAGCATCTGTGTGGTTTTCAAACCTCCCCAGGTGTTTCTAAGTTCCAGCCAGGGCTAAGAACCCCTGCCATACTGGATCTGGTTGGAGGCCCTGCAGCACCTTGCATAGATGCTGAGCAGGCAGGGCGTACCGAAAGATTACAGACACCCTCAGGAGAGGCCAGAGATCCTTGGAATTCTGCCCTACGTCAACTGTCCTGCGGCCCTGAAGAGCAAAGCCTGCTAGCCAAGAGCAAATGAAGGGCAGGTGGGCAGGCCATCAGCTTAGGCTGAGCCCTCCCTCCCTGTGCCAGGTGTTCTATGCAGAATTGAGGGGGCGGAGAGAGGCAGGGAGCCCAGGGGAAGCCTCAGGCAGCAGCCAGCCGCTCCCAGAACAGGAGGCCTAGGGCTCACACAGGAAAAACTAAGGACAGGCAGGTTTGTCTGTGTGACTGGGCAGGCGGGCAGCTGCAGTCCACGCCTTGTGGTTTGCGAGGCACAGGAAGGTCCCAGTTCTGCCCACCCTCCCAGTGATGCCATTAAGGTAGGAGTCACTCCTAGAGGTGAACACTGCCTCCTCCCATGAGGGTCCTTGAAATTGCAGGGATTTCTAGGAGGAAGGACTTGTGAAGCCCGTCACCTTTGGCTGCTACACGCCAAGGGCCAGATGTAAGGTGTCTGCAGCCTCCAGGCAACCCTGTGAGTGAGTGCTACCACCTGCTTCATAGATGAGGACACTAGCGTTCAGAGGTAAGCAGTTTGCCCGAAGCAGCAGGGCCTGTGGGAAGGGGTTTGTCATTGTCTTTGTCATCCGCCTTCCTCATGCAGGTGTGATGGGAAGGGTCGGGAGCAGAGGGGCACCAGGTTTAGAAGTGGCCAGAGTTGATGGGCAGGGGCCAAAGAAACCCTGCTACAGTCTTCCTGACACCAACGCCATGCCATAGCCATGATAAGCAGAGGACAAACCCTGCAGAGCCAATGCTCCGTGCCCCCAGGTGCTGTGGAGTGGAGGACGAGGGGCTGCAGGAACCACAGTCAAGGACAGGGCTAGCATGGGGGTGGCAGAAGAGAGAGTCTTCATTAATCTCTATTTGCTGGCAACTCTTGATAACAGCAATCAACAACAACAAACAAACAAACCTGTCCCGAAATAGCAACGTTACCCTGACCCTCCCTCAGAGCCTCCTTAATCTGAAATCCATCATCTGTCAAATGACTGGAAAGGAGAAACTGCTCATCTGTCACTTATGTAACTAGCTGTCACATTCTCACAACAGCAGCGCTCCCACTTAGGCCCTCTCGGAGTCCTACCTTCTAAGCCCTTGACTTCTATTTCTAAACCGAGCGGCTCCCAGTGCTTCCTTCCAGAATTAGCAGATGGTGATGCCCAAATGTTTAGGTGCCTGATCTAGGAACATCAGAACAGGAGGGGACCTAAGAGATCATTGTGTGCTTATGCGGAGATTGTCAAAAACTATATCTTCTATCCAACTCTGATTCATTGGTAGTGACTTCCGGGCACACTGTGTTGAGAAGGATTCTGAGGCCTGGCTCAGGTTAGCAGGAAAGAGTCCTGTGATTGCTTAGCAGTGTCTGACATGGGTGCAGATTGGGGAGGGCCCCACATAGGCCAGGAATTAGGTGTGTGACACGATGCCAATCTCTAACCTCTCTGAGCTGTGGCTTCCTTGTGTGTCAATGAGTAATAATAATAATAGTGCCCCTTTACTGGCATCTCAGGAGATGCAAATGATGTGAACGGCATGAAGGTGTTGTGTGGTGGTAAATGTCACATTGTTTTCTTGTCTTGCGTGCTGCATTTTGTTTTTCTGGGGCAAATTCCCAGCCTACTAGACGTGAGCTCTGGCTGTGGGTGCTCATTAAATGCTTGCCCAACAATGTATTGAGGCTTGTGTGCAGTACACTCGGGATGGGCTGAAAAGCTGGTGGTGACCGGTGTTGCACAAAGGCAGGCCCCGACCACGCATGCAGGACATAGCTGGTCATCTACCAGGAATGTCTGGGGACAGGAGAGAAAGGCAAGAAGCTAAGCTGGGGAAAGCGCCCTATGGGCTATAGAACTTGGGAGACAGAAGGAAAGGTCATGGAGGATCAGAGGCAAATAGAAATGGGAGGACGGCAATGTGGGTCCCAGACTCCAGGGCTGGAACCACACCTGTCCCAGTTGGAGAGCTGGCTCTGGTTGGCGGCCATCAGCAGGATGTCGTCAATCTCATCCTCTATGCGGAAGGGGTGCTGCGAGGTGGGCTCGTCCTCGGGGCAAGCGTACGGGCTCATGTAGGGATGCTGCAGCCCCATCTCGGCGGTCAGGCGATCCATGGGGTTAAAGGTCAGGATCTTCTCCAGAAAGTCGATGGCTGTGGAGAGCAGAGCAGGACAGGAAGGTCATTTATGCCCTTGCCAAGCTGAGAATAAGACTCCTTAGCATGGGGACACCCCCTAGTGTTTGTACTTTTCCATTTGTAAAAAGGCTTTTGGATGTTTCCTTTCTCAGGATCCTCACCACAATCCAGGGACAAATTCAGAGCAGACGCTGCTTTTTGACTTCACTAATGAATTAATAGAGGTCCAGAGGGGTACAGTGACTCAAGGCCACCATTGGTTACAGGAGGTCCAGGGCTAGAACTCTGCCTTAGGCTGGATTTCCCCAGAGACAAGGAATGGGGTGGAGGTAGACTATGTGGCAGTGGTGCCAGGAAGCACCGGTAGGGCGATGAGGAAGAAGCCAGTAGAGGACGTGCCAATGAACAGCTCCTGCTGAGCGCCCCTGGGGACCTGTTCCACTGGGTTCTTCAAGAGACAGCATGGGACACACCTCAGAGATGGTCCCACTTCGGGGTGGGGGGAAGCCGGGGCATCTCCATCCCCACTCTCATTTGTCATGGGTTGAGTGCTGCTGGAGTGGGTGGAGGACCTAGCAGCAAAAGGCCTCAGTGAGAACGGTCGCCGTGGAGCTAGGCGGGTGGGACAGAGCCTGACAGCCCAGGGCTCCTAAGTCCAGAGCCCTTTCTACCATATGTTGCCCCTGGAGGTTTGACAAATAAAGGCCATCTTCAAAATATTTATCCCCTGGGCTGAAGCCCCCATGCTGTGCCAGGCAGTAACCCTTCAGTGGCTAGATCAAGGGGAGGATCTGGCAGCTGAACCTGGGCGTGGAAACGGACACTCAGAAGCCCTGTGCGGTGGCTATTTGCCAACCAGCATGAAGGTATATCAAGATGGCAGCAACCTGTAGGGCGTTGTGGGTGTGTGCACTGGCTGAACATCACCTCCGCACACAGGTGCCCTTTGTCCTGAACGGGGGTCACCAGTCTGCCCTGTGAGCTCAGCCCCGGGTTATCTCAGGGCAAGTCCAGTCTGGAGGTTTGTATTCCTTCTCAGCACTGGAGGCTCCACTTAAATCATGGCTTGGCTAATCATGTTACAGCCCACATGGAAAAGGAGGAAAGCAGCTGAGCTCAAGGCCAGGCTTCTGTGCCCTCTGAGGGGGGCTCCTGGGTGGGCCTCAGCCTGCACCATTACCCTGCCCCTCACACCAGCCCTGGACCTCTCTGCAGAAAAATTCATCAGTGATTCAGGAAATCAATGGATTCTGAAGGTCACTGGCCTTCCAGGAGGATGCAGTTCTGCTTCATAATCCTAGACTGAAAGATCAATTAAGCAGCAGTAACTCTGATCCCTCCCCAGTGCTCTGGGGCTCAGAGCATGCTTCTGGGCTCAGGGCTTCAGACCTGAAAGAGAATCAGCCTCACAGATTCCCAGGACTGGGAAGAATCAGGCGGTGCAGGGCCCAGCTCTGCCACTGCCCAGCTCCAGGCTGGGCAAGTCTTTCCTTCTTTGGGCTCCCAGCCCCTCGCTCGGCCCCACCTACTACCCTGAACCTTTTGACAAGGAAGTGAGAGAGTTGGAGCTCTAAACATTGGCAGGCATCATCACCATTATCATCAGTATTAAGAAAGACCCAGCGAACCTGACGTTAGAAAGTGCCAGCCCTGAAGGCCACTCCACTGACTCTAGTAAAGATGAGAATCTCCCCTTCCCTCTCTCTGACAGCTGGTCCTCCAGCAGGTGCCCAGACACTTCTGGGAAGCCCAAGTGTTAGAAAATCCTGCCTTATAGCAAACCTAAATCTGCCCCTTTAACTCCTACCCTTGAGCCTCACTCTGCCCTCTCTGGTCCCCCCATGTCAGCATGCTCTCTCTTCTCCATGACTGTTCCCATCATGTTTCAAGGCAGCAGTCATGTCCCACACAAGCCTCCTGTCCTCCTGGCACACAACTGGCCTACATCTCCTAGCCTCCCCCGCAGTTCGGTGTGGCCGTGTGACTGGGGCCAATGGAAAGGGGTTGGAAATGATGCGTGTACCCCGCTTCCAGGCCAGACCCATAGAAACCTCCTGCAGGAGTGTCTGCTCTCCCTTCCCCTGTCTTCGGCCGGAAGTTGGTGCCCTGTGGGTATGGGGGAGCCTTGAAAGTTACGATTGAAGATGTCACATGGCCGGCATCCCAGGCGTGGCCCCCAGGTTCCCCCACTCTGTCTGAGCTTGAGTTGAGCAGTGAATACACTGCTAGCGGGTAAGCCGCAGAGACCAGGTTTATCGCCTACAGCACTGGCTTCACCTTAACTCATAACCACACCGCCCCGCCTCCACCAACTCCTTTTCTCTAAGTTCAACCTCCCACATGTTTTCTTCAGTGCTTCTAACATAATGAGGCTTCTGTACAATTGTGTCACCTCTCTGTGGCCCCAGTGGATTCCCAGCTGGGCTTCTCAGAGCCCCAGGGATCCTCAGGAAGGATTCTCAGGGGCGTCTCTGGAGATCAAGAGGCAGGTGGGCAGGGCCCCTCACCCCTCACCCCTGCTGCACCCAGAGGACTCCTTTCCCTGTTTTGTATATTAGATTTCATCATCAGCTCTGTCATTTGTGATATAGTTTCTTCTTGTAAGTGGAGCTCAGAAGTGAACGCCCTGGCATTGGTCTCAGGCCTCCTCCCTTGTCCTGAACCTGTGGTGTGATGGCTGTCTCGGCTGCTGAGGGATACAGTCCAACCACACTATGTCCATCGAGCCTCTGAGGGTGGCAGCCAGAGGGGACTCTCACCTCTTCCCAGGCCTACGGGGCCTCAAATGGACAATCCAGGACAAACCGAGGGTCACCAACTGACTCTTAGGGGCAAGTGCGCGTGATACCCTTTCTCCCACTGAAGTTTCATTTCAGCCATACCTCATTACCCTGAGGCCAGGCTGATTGGGGCCACTTTTCAAGCCCAGTGGCAGACAAGAGAATTGTGGTTGAAGCTGGCACATGGGGAGGGTGAAGCTTTTGTGAACATCTGTTCGGCTACAGGATCAAGTCTGTACACGTCCGCTGGGTATTCAGAGCCCTGCAGCCTCTTGGCCCTTCTCACCTATCCAGCTTCACTTCCTACAGTCAGTTTCCCGCTGATCTGAGCCCTCACCAGTCCTCCAGGCCGGTTCTTTATCCCTCTCAGTGCTTGGTGGCTCTCTTCCCCTCCCCAAATACCCAGAGCTCTCGTTAGCCCCTTAGGATGTGTTCCTTCATGTGCATGCTCACCTCTGACGTGTACTCCATCTTCCCAGCTAGACCATCACTTATGTCTCTGATCTTTGCGAGACAGGCCCATCACACTCAGAGCCAAGTCACCGAGGGACTGCTGTGCGTGTGGTGGTTTGGGGGATGGGGACATGGGTGACACATCCCCGATCCAGAATTCCTGAGAATTGTGAACCTTGTTTCACATGGTGGGATTTCAACAGAGGCCTAGGATTTCAACAGAGGCCTAGGAATGTGGATGGGCTGAGTCTTAATTTGTGGGGAATCGGATTGCCCCCTCCCTTAAAGATGGGGAAACTGAGACAGATTGAATGGGGATCATGGCCAGAGAAATTGTTAGTCCAAGCTCTTGGCTTCTTGATGGGGAGCGTGGCAGAGACAGCTGTACCCCATGTCTGTTCTCCTCTTTCATAGACATGGACACAGAGTGGCCATGGAGTAAGTGTCCACTTCCCAGCCTCACTGCAGCGAGGTGGGACCATGTGACTAAGTTCTGGCCAACAGGACACGAATGCAGGTGAGGTTAAGTCAAGGGAACTGCCCTCCTTCCCCGCCTTCCCCCAGCTGGTAAGGGCAACACCCTAAGGTGGCAGAAATACAAGACAGAAGGGGCTTGGGCCCTGGATGACTGTAGAGCAGGTCTACCACATTGGCCCTAGACTATCTACTTTGGATTATTATATAAGAGAGAGATAAACTTAACTTCTTTTTTCTTAAATAAGAAATACATGTTATTTAAGCTGTTGAGAATCTGCGTTTCTTTTACAATTGGCAAACCCATATTCTACCTGATATAGGGGTTTCCTAAGGGAGCCTCTAGCAGGTAGAAGGCTGGTGGCAATGTAACATCTCAGATGATGGAGCAACTATCCTATGCTAAGGGCTTTACGAATTCTATTTTACTTACTTGTCACAGTGACCCTGTGTGTCATGTATTACTATATCCATTTTACAGTTAAGGAAACTGAGATGCAGAGAAGTTAATAAACTTGCCCAAGGCCAAACAGCTAGTCACTGGTGGAACTGGGAGCTGAGCCTGGGTCTGGCTTTGAAGCTGATGAAACCATACCATGCCTTACAGAGGGAAAAAATAAAGGGAGGTGGAAGAGAGGGACGGAGGCAAGTGAGAAAGAAGGAAAAGGAAGCAAAATCAGGGGTAGAGTGTGGAGGACCAGCTGTGACCGCCCCGAGGGTGGCCTGATGGCCGAACTCAGTCTGGAAATAGCGAGGGCAAATGCCCGCTGCCAGGGGTTCCCAGCTTGTGTCTAGGGACTCTGTTTGGTCCTTTTGGAAGAGACTGCCTGCCCCAGCCCCCCAGGGTGAAACCAGAGTGCTGCCTCCAGGTGCTGGCTTGGCCGTCGGGCTCTGGTACCTTCGCTGTTCACTTCAGGGAGCAGCTTGCGCAGTGGCCTCTTCACCTCCCAGGTGCTGCTGACGAAGGAAGGCATCACCTTGAGCAGCTCGTCCTTGTCTTCCTCCCGGATCACAGGGATGGTCTCCAGGATGAGCTGCATCTGCTCCAGCTCGTGAGCCCCTGGGGAGGTAAACACCAGATGGTTGAGCATGCTGCCCACGTGGCTGGCGTGTGTGGAAGCTCCCGGGCCTCTCTAGGACCCTGGGGCAGGGGGACCAGAGCTGGGCTGGGAGCCAGGGGACCTGAGTTCACTCTGCCACTAACTTGCTGTGTGACTGTGGGCAAGTTGCTTGCCATCTCTGGGGCTTGGTCGAATGTAGAAAGAAGGGGTAGTCTCTGGGTCCCCATCCGCCCCCCTAGCATTCTGTGCCTCTGGAATGGACCAGTCTCATATAGCCTGAGTCAGCCATCGCTAAAGTGATGGGAGCAGCCTGGCCCAAGGCTTTCCAAATTCTCTTTCCCATATGCCTCTGTGCATGTCCTTTACTGGGTTGGGGAAGGAACTGATTTTAAGGCTAGGAATGAGTCTTACCTTTTGGATTCCCATTAGGAGGAAAAAAAGTCAGGAAGAACAAATTAAGCTTGGGACGTGTCATGAGCACACTGCCTCTGTGCTCCTTTGAGCAGAGAGAGGAAGACAGACTGTGCCAGGTCTGTGGGACAGGATGGAGTCGAGCATTCAAGCACTCATTCACTTACTCATTCATTCATTCAACAAATGATTATCTATGGAGTGTCATCTCCCTGCCAGGCATCATGCTGGGTGCTGGGAATGAATACCATACTCATCCGTAAGAAGCTTCGGGCTTTGTGCATCTTGGAAACTCAACTCCTCTTCTACGCTTAGGCCATCACGGATGCTGCTTCAGAGCTTTGACACTGCTGGGATGGGTCAGGTCTGAATCCTTGCTGCCCCCTCTGACTTCCAGGCTGTTCTTACCTCCAGTTCCTCCATTTCCCGTTTTGGCATGAGTAGCCTTGCCATTTACCTCTACCAGGTTAAATCCAACTGGGCCCCATCTTCTGTAAGAAGTGCCCCTGACTCACCCAGCTGCACAGAGCTCCCTCCCCTTACCACCGATTCCCATGGGGTCCCAGTCTTCCAGAAGCTGGGAGCCAAGGGAGGGGCTCTTCCGTGTCCCCCATGATGCCCTGTGCGGCACTAAGCACTTGTGGATGCTGTGAGCGCTGACCCAGAAAGTGCCTACGGATCAGCATCTGCTCTGAACAAGTCCCTTGGCCTCTCCCTGCAGTGGGCTCATGTAGGCTCATTTCAGACACTCTGGGAGACTTGTGGGGTCCCCTCTCCAAATGAGCACTCCAGACCGACCTCTCACAGTGGCAGGGAGAGGAGAGGAAGGGGCTGAAAATGTAGGATGGGTGTTTTTAGGGGTCAATCTCAAGGTGTTTGAATATACACGACTATTGATTTTGAAAGCTCTGTGCTCAAAAGGCTTTTTTTTAGCCTCTCCAGTATTTTGCCTGAAATGGTTGATAATCAGGTGCCTCCAAGTGGTGCCAAAAAAGCTGCAGAGGTAATGTCAAAGAGAAAGACTAGCATGTTTGTGATTAACATGTGTCCCCCCCCCCTTTTTTTTTTTTTGCGGTACGCGGGCCTCTCACCGCTGCGGCCTCTCCCGTTGCGGAGCACAGGCTCCGGACGCGCAGGCTTGGCGGCCATGGCTCACGGGCCCAGCCGCTCCGCGGCACGTGGGATCTTCCCGGACCGGGGCACGAAACCTTGTCCCCTGCATCGGCGGGCGGACTCTCAACCACTGCGCCACCAGGGAAGCCCTGTTTTCCCCTTTTATTGAGCTACAGCAGAGGAGAAGGAAGGTGCCTGGGTAGCAGCTTACCAGCAAAGAGCATCCTCCCCGTGAGCATCTCTGCCAGGATGCAGCCAGCGGCCCACATGTCAATGGCTTTGGTGTAGTTGTTAGGGGAGAGGAGCAGACGTGGCGAGCGGTACCATTTCGTTACCAACCCTTCTGACAGGTAACCCTGGAAGACAAAATCCTGGCTTCCAGTAATCGGTCATTTGTAGACACCCCCCCTCACATGCCTCTCCTTTCCCTTCCCAGGGAGACAGGACCCCTTTCACTCTCCATCCTTTCCCATTGATCGTCTGGTTAGAGGGGTTTAGGCAGCTTTGTGGGGCTCAGAGGCTTTGGTGGGGGAATCTTATGAGGCCCTGGAGTTCTCTTCTGTAGAAAGGGATCCAGGATGACACTATTTAAGAAGCAATGCTTTCCCAGCCCATCTTGATGTAATGACGCATAGCACTCTACCCTCATCTAGTAAGAAGATGGAAAAGTAGGAGCCATACTTGAGTTTGTTATCACCATCAACAGAGTAACGATGAGACAGTGGAATTTGATTTATTCAGTGGCTGAATGTCAGAAAGAGCTGTAAAATTTAAATCAAGCCAGTTGCTTTGGTGCAGATGATTAAATTAATTCTGCTGTGACGCCAGACGCCAAGCCCCTGCTGGGAATGGGTGAGGCCAGCTTCATAATGGGTGCGGGTGAAGGGCTTTTGGAAGCAGCCCTAAAAGGCAAAGTGGACACAGCTTTGGTTGGCCCAGAGGATTCTGGGAGTTCTACAGAGCGTCTTTGCGGGGATAGATGTTCTAGCTGATTTCAGCCACTGCTCAATGTGCGGTCTGGAGTGGAATCCCTCACTACGGGATATAGTGACAGCACAGGTGCTTTAGCACAGATATAGGGAAATATAGCCAGGCAATTCGGGGCTTGTTCTCTATGTAATTCACAAAGCTGGCCCAACAGTGAAATCTGGGAAATGTCTGTTGAATTACATGGAAGGGTCTCTCTAAATTGAAAAAATAGACCTATTTGGTGGTCAAGCTCAGATAATTAGCACCAGGGGGATCCAGTGAGAAATTCTGGGGACGGTTTTGTTATTTGCTGTTGTAATTTCCAATTTAGCATCTAATTTTCCTTTTTGCTGATGTAAAAAGTATCGCAGACCTAGGTTAAAAGCAGATGAAACGTTAGGAAGCCCAAGTACCCAGGAGCTTTTGATCAATTAATCTGAAATCTCGTCACTTGTTGAGCAAAGATTTATTATGTTTTAAACCTGAAAGCCCTGAGTTACAGCAGTTTTCTCTCCTCTGTGGCACATATTTCTTTAGAGCAGGTCCTCAGACTGGTGCAAGGAAGGAAGAAAAGACTAAGGTATACCCATTCCCCAGCCTCGATGCTCCAAAATGAGCTCCTTATAATTTTAAAAATATGCCCCCTTTCTCTGTCCTTTGGGCCTTTGCACGTGTACTTTCCAGGGATGGGTGTCCTCACACCCACTGTCCTTCCTGGCTAACTCACACTTAGGCCTGCTTCCTCTCAGAAGCTTCCCAACTCCCTGGGATGAGGTTGAATGCCCCTTCCCAGGAGCTCCATGATCCCTGTCTTGTTACTGTTTCTGTACTTCTCTGCAGTTCCACCTTCACCCACCCACCCCCAGGACCACTAGACTATTCACCCCTCGTGGGCAGAGGCTGTATCTTGTTTCACAGCCATTTCTGCATTGCCTACTGCCAAGTCTGCCTCCTAGGAAATGTCCAATGAACACGGATGGATGGATGAGTAAGGAACATCTCACATGGTCTGAGCCCCTTCAAAATGGGGCACCTTCTGGAGGAACCACTGATCCCCTTCTTTAACAGACCTGATTTCATGGAGAGACCCAGTTCCCACTTTCAATGGTGGATGAGAAGTTTAGAAAAGTTGACAGCTTTTGCCTTATGCCTAGCTTTCTTCCAGAAAGGACTGGCAAGTGTAAGTATAATTTTTTTTTGGGGGGGGGGTACGCCAGCCTCTCACTGTTGTGGCCTCTCCCGTTTTGGAGCACAGGCTCCAGATGCGCAGGCTCAGTGGCCATGGCTCACGGGCACAGCTGCTCCGCGGCATGTGGGATCTTCCCGGACCGGGGCACGAACCTGTGTCCCCTGCATCGGCAGGCGGACTCTCAACCACTGCGCCACCAGGGAAGCCCAGTAATTTTTTTTTTAAGTCAGGTTTATTGAAGTATAATTTATAAACAGTAAAATTCACTCTTTTTAGGGTATAGTTCTATGAGTTTTGACAAAGCGTAGAATCATGTAACCACCATCATAATCAAGAGACATACAATTCCATCAGCTCACACAATTCCCTCGTGTGCCCTTCTGGTCACCCCCAAGCTCCAGTTCCCTAGAAACCACTGTTTTCCATCCCTTTAGTTTTGCTTGTGCAGAACGAACGTCATATAAATGGAATCGCAGCGTGTGGCCTTTTGAGTCTGAATTCTTCCCCTTAGCATAATGCATCTGGACTCATCCACATTGCTGTATGAAGAATAATCTGTTAGGAGTTTAAGTTTGATTCTAAAAAGGAAAGAGACAAGCCAGACTGTAGGAGCTCACATCTGGGTGGGTGGCTTACAAATAAAGAAAGGTCCAATTTTATTTTTCAGTCAGAGGGTGAGTGTGTCAGAGAAAGACTAAAGCAGAGCACCCAGAGGGGAGGTGACTTAAGGTGAGTTTACTCTGATGTGTAAATGAGCAATCTTTTATGGGACAGAATCCCCTATAATTAACACCTGCCTATCTGCAGAGTCTGGAGCTGAAGTGGGACACAGGGAGCTTCCTTCTGAAACACCTGCCCTGAAAGTAAAAGAAAGATGTTTGCATGGGCAAGGCTGCCCCAGGGCCAGAATTATGGGCAAGGCCATGATAACAGCTGAGAAAGTTCACCCCTGGCTCTTCCTTACCTTTGAATGAAAACCAAGAACCTGCCAGATTTTTGTCAACTACTAGCTGCTTCCCTCAAGTTACTTGTCCCTCAAGTCAGGGGATTTACTGGTATGTTTCAGAAGCCACAGGACAGAGGAGAATTTGGGAAGGTGCAGTGGCTTTTCTGCCAGGCTCTGGAGCAAGGGGAGCCCTGGGGAAGGGGGGGGATGGGAACAGAGGGGAGCCTCCATTCCTGGGTCTGTGGGGCAGACACGGGGAGGGGCTGGAGGTCTTGCCCTCAGCTGAGATGAGCCCTGGGTGGGAGAGGCACTGGGGCCCACCGCACAATACTGGTGATCTGAATTCAACAGAGGAGTTTTAGTTGAGTGGATGGGGCAAAAGTCAGAATTTTCTAGAATAAAAAGAAATCTTTAAAGATACCCAGAAGTGGAGACTCAGTTTTATCAGAAGGGCCCATAAATCCATAAGTGTACTGGCTCAACAGAAATCCTTAAATGACTTTCCTGCCGGAGCCTGCAGGGTGAAGATAGTTTCAGCTCCATTTGGATATAGAGGAAGCTGTCTTCAGCAATCAGACGTGGTCTCTCTTGGGGCTCGCCCATCAGCAGGCTGACCAGTGGGTGGGACAGCGGGCACAGGCAGGGCGTGTTGTCTCATCACCATGCTGGGGAGACGGGAAGCGGACACTCCTCGGGTCACCCCCTGAGTGTAAGAGGCAAGATCAGAATCACCCTTTCCCTAGTGTCCCATTCCTCCTGCCACCCTGTCCCTTGGTGTTTCCGGTGAGAAGGCAACTCCGGAGGCACCACTGGGAGGGGTGGACACGGTTCCCTGTCTAGACCCCACCATGGCGACTTTGGGCTTCTTCAGCTATTACTCCAACCAGCCCATTGTGCTGGAGTCATGTCCAGCCAGTGAGAGGCTTTGACTTTGAAAGCCTTAAAGGTGTTTGGAAATAATCTGGTAGCAGCTGCCCCAGGAGGATAGTAATTAGGGACCCCCCACAGATCCAGAGGGAGGGTAGAATTAAAGCTGAGCATTCTCTTTGCTGAAGGAGCAAGGAAACCACACTCAGTCCCAGCTGCCTGCCAAGGAATTCAGAACAGCCTCCATCGAACTAACCCTGGAAGGGTGGGCACCCATCTGCTGCTCCAGCAAGCCTGTATTGGGTGGGCTTCAGCTCTGCTCAGCTTGCCTTCTCTGTGCCTCCACTGGCCCAAGCCTGATCTCTTGGGTCTGGGAGTCAGAAGGCTGGAGGAGGCTTGATCCCATAAACTTTCCACTTCACCCTTTAATGCACCTACTGGCACCTCACAGAGGTAGGGCAAATTTAAATAGGGACAACACTCTCCCAAGAATAAAAGCCCTGGGTGTGGGAAGACGCCAAGGTAGCGTCTCCCCACAACTAGGGCGCCTGCCGGCTGCTGGTGGGGACCCTGACGCCCAAGGAGATGGGAGGAACCCCCAAGTGAACCGGTAGGACGTGGGGGGACTGAAGGGGGAAGAGAAGTGGAGGCCAGACACCCCTGAGGCTGGGGAGATCAGGAGAGGCAGGCGGGAGGGACCCTCATGAAAGAGCGGGAGAGGAGCTGAGGGTGATCTCCTGGCCCACTCGGGCCGGGGAGCCTGCTGAGCTCCCAGGCCGATACCCCACCTCCAAAGCCCCCTCAAGGCTACATGGGTCCTGGGGGCTTAGGAAGGAGGCCGAGGGTCGAACACCAGTGGCAGGTGGGAGGGGCCCTCCCAGAGGGGAGGAGCAGGAGAGGAGAGGAGGGCGTTTGCCCCGCCCACTCGAGTCCGGGAAGCCTGCTGTGCTCCCAGGTGAGGTCCCCTGCCCTCTGAGACCAGCGGTGGGGGGCACGCCTGGGCCCCTTCTGTTCCTTGAGCCTAAACCCCTCCCCCCACAGCCCCCAGGGCCTTTTCCAGCCCTGTGGGTCCTGAGCATAGGCCCCGCCCACCACCAAACCTTGCCCTTGCTTAGACCTCGCCCTCCACAGCCAAGGCCTCCCCCCACCTTTTTTTTCTTTCTTTCTCTTTTTTTTTTCTCCTTCTTCCTCCTCCTCTTTCTTACTATTGTGGTACTGATGTACCTTCCGGTTGTTAATTCATCTATATTTTTATCTTTATGTTCTTTCTAACATATCTGTTAGTTTCCTAGTCTAATTTTATTTTTTACTTTGTTATTGTTCTCTCTTTTTTTTTTTGCCATCCCACACGGATTGCGGGATCTTGGTTCATGAGCTGGGGGTCG